AGTTGGAGTTCGAATTTCCACACGGCAAACAAAGTATTCTGGCAGAGCATCCGCCGGCTCTGAGGTGAAAAGACGGGCAGTCTCAGAGTCTTGAAGGACAGATCTGGAAACCCTCTCACCCAGGATGAAGAGATTCTTCGGTGATGGAGAGAGAGTCCTTTGGGAAATTCCTTAATACCGAGTAACCGCAGAAAGACTCACCTGAAAAGTAACAGGGAACGAAAAACAGTGTCTCTGTAGATGAAGTCATAGAAGCTCTGAATGGCTTGAAAATTGGAAGGCTGCTGGAATCGATGAAATGCGCCCTGAAATGCTCAAAGCATTAGGCGGACAGAGCACGTGCTGGAAAGCAAGTGTTTATAAAATTGCAGTGTGTAAGAGGAAGATGCCAGCGGACCGGAAAACGGGAGTTGTTGTACCTCTGTTCAAGAAGTGGGACCACAGGAAGTGCTCTAATTATCGGGGCACTATCTTATTCAGCCTCCCAAGAACAGTATACGCAAAAATGCGAGAAGGAGGTGCCACGGAATAACTCACTCCAAGATACAAGAAGAGCAGTGTGGTTTCTGACGCGTTCGAAGTATTCTGACCGTATATTCGTCCTACGCAAATTCTTGAGAAATCAGGGAGTTCGCTCATCCAGTTTATATGCACTTTGTGGATCCAAGCCTAAGGCCGGATTCATCGCAACAGTTCAGTGGACATGCCTATAAATATATGGAATAGATGGCCAGTTGCTACGAGCCATCCAGTCACTATGCGCCGATAGTAAGCGCTGCGACAGGGTAAATGGTATTAAGTCGAAACCTTCTACGGTTGGCAGTGGTGTTCGTCAAGGCCGCATTCTGTCCCCCTCTCTTGCTTGTGATGCATATCGATGGAATAGCCAGGTCAGGTGCAGACAGGGCAATGAGTCGACACGAGAAGGTTGCTGTTTGCAGACGACCTCATTCTATTGGTATCTTTTGAAACTGATCTTCAGCGTTACCTCGAAAGGTTGGTAGCTGAGTGAGCCGTGGCCAGTGTGCGTTTGAACGTACTTAAAAGGAAAATCCTAGTGCTTTCTCGTTCTCCTGCCTGTTGCTCTCTTCAGGTAAGCGCACAAGCAGTTTTCCTCAGGGTCGAATGAGGTTGAGTTTACTGAACGGAAAAGGGGCGGAACAGATCGATGGGCGAATTGGAATGACCAGCAGCGTTTTGCTTGAAGGAGCTTGAACCGTTATAACTAAAGCACAGCAGAGTCTGAATACTAAGCTACCTGTGCTCAAGAC